ATCATCATGGGAAAAGGCAGGGGAGCCTGGGAAATTATTTAAATCAAGCTGTAATGCAGTTTTAACAACTTTGGGTTTTCATCCTTCAATTGGATTTCCTCAGGCAGAGTCCTGCACACATATAGACACAGTTTCTGGATTGGGGCCTAATAATAATGGGGTAGACAGTGACTCAGTCAAATATTATAAAAGATGCCACTAAAAATGCAAAAATATCAGTATGTCAGATTCCCTCTATTTCAAAAGGAGAAGAAAGACCTGCTGCTTGGACTAAAATGTAAACCAGTTGTTTGAATCAACACAGAGTTTCCTAAAAGGAGGCCCCTTGGTTAGTTGGCTCACTGTTCAACTCCATTATCCAAATCCCCAAAGGGACGTACATTTTGTGATATTCAGTATTGTGATATTCAGCCTAACTTTTAGGCAGCTGGAAAATTACTGGAATCTACTAAGCCTGAGTTAGGCATTTTGACTATGTATGGGCAGAAACAGGAATTGAGCTTCACAAAAGCCAGCACTTCAGGTGAGGAACTGACAAAACTAACCAATGGGAGATTCTAATGAAAGAGCTATGTCCTAACTCTCACCCCTATCCTGGAGTGTGTTGCCTAAATCTGGGCTGCAGGGAGGCACCTATCTCCACTTGTGATCCATAACTAGGAACCTCCTCTTCTGAAAGGAAGGGCCCTTGGTGATGGTGCACACTTAATACGCTCAACAGACAGAGGAAGTGGTGGTGATAGTGGCATCTTCCCACCTTATAATCTTCAGTTCAAGGGTTTGAACACTCATCAGAAGGTTCAGGTCCCCTCTCTGCCTAACCACCAGGCTATTCTTGCTTATAAGCGCTGTAGCCCAAGACTATTTAAGTACAGGCAGTCCCCGAGTTACGCGGATCCGACTTATGTCGGATCCGCACTTACGAACGGGGCTCTCTCGCCCCAGAGCTCGCAGGCAGCGGGACTGCCCAGAGCACAGCGGTCCCGCCACCTCGACCTCCGGTGCGAGAAAAGCTGCTCCGGGTACCCCTGCTGGGACACCCGGAGCAAAGCCGGGGAGGCGGAGGGGTCCCGTGCCTCTGAGGCTTTGCTCTGGGTGTCCCTGGTCTGCTGGGGACCCTCTCCAGCAGACAAGGGACACCCAGAGCAAAGCCGCGGAGCACGCGGGCAGTGGACAGCCCAGACGGGCCGCCGCTGTCCTGCTGCCGGTGTGTTCCGCAGCTTTGCTCCCTGTCTCCCTGGTCTGCTGGAGAGGGTCCCCAGCAGACCAGGGAGACGCAGAGCAAAGCCACGGAGGACCCAGGCGGCGGGACCGTGGCGCGTCTCGGTCCCGCCACCCGCGGCTCCCTCGTCC